ATGGGTCCGAGTAGACCCTCAGACAAACAGATACAGCATTGGGTGGTTTTCAATCCAGAACAAAAGGCAAAGCACCAAAAGCCGTTGGTCGGTTATTCATAATTATACAAGAGTGAACATTGGCTAGGCTAATAGATGACTGAGTTAATCGACTGCAAGGTTAAGGGATTACTTAATAAAGCCCATTGAATGTTACAAAGAATAGTGAATGATTCTTCAGTGACCACTGACGATGATCATTCATCACCTTGCATTCCCTTATTCCTTGTCTCCATTATTCTTCAAACCCCTTTGTTAAAGACTGAGAGAATCTTTTGATATTTACCCCCGGTCCTCCCACAATAAACTCGAGATTTTTACCAGAATATATCTCTATCAGCCTCTACCTTCTGGATTTCTATAATATATAAGAATCAATCAGCTTCCTCGTCTGAGTTGTCTCTCTACTTCCTTCCCAGAGACTGTTATCGAGACGCAACTTTTGCATACTACTACAAAGTCGACGGAGCAGATATATAAGATCCTACACCCTCCACTTGGAACCAGAAGGTAAAATCATTGCAAATGACCCTATACGACTACTGCAATCCATCTCTGACCGCGCCAGTGATACAACGCGGGCATCCTACAGTATGTGTGAAGAAGCTCTGATGAGAGTTCAGCTCAACAGGGGGCTGGGCCTGACCATATGCTCGGACGGTCCATCACCGATGCCTACCACGTTTGCTGAGAATACAGACTTTTAGATCCCCAGACAAACGGATACAGCATCGGGCGGTTTTCAATCCGAAACGAAAGACAGCCGCTAAAAGCCAAGGGTCGGTTAAAAGCGAATGGCCTGTTTTCGGGAGAGGTCTTGACAAGGCCCTCCTTCACTTTCAATGACAATGAAGAGGCTTTTCAGAAGCTCAAAACCGCCCTCGAAGAGCCACAGGAGCTGCAGCCATGCTCCACCAGCCCGGATCTGACCCACATACCATTTTGTGGTAGTCTTTCTGCAAAAGTTGCCGCCATGCTGTTATCGAGAGCAGAAAATTTTCCGAATCTGCGCTCCGTGGCTGGCTGAGAGTCCCCCTGCTTGGCTGTTGTCGACTGGGCCAATGGTCCAAATAGGAAAAAAGAAATTGGTAAGACTGGGGTTCGAACCCAGGTGACATACGTCAGCAGGGCTTAAATCTGCCGCCTGTATACTCTTCGTTAGGGAGTGATCATATATTAACTATAGATGGGATGAATTACCTTAACCACTCGGCCATCTTACCAGGGGGGTTGACCGAATTGTCTTGTTTGCGTTGTTACTTTTAACCAAGCCTTCATTTTTCGGGGCACGTTATTAGCAACTACGTTGAAAACATCTCGGTTAAGGGTGCTCACGCTCTCAATATGGTTAAGCACCGATCAATTGAACCTCTTAAAAGAGACTATTTGTTCGGCGCTATGTGGCAATAGCGCGCTATTAAGGAAATAATGCTGCTTGGAGTTGGGTTTCATGGAGACAGGGACAAGATCATTTAGTGAGCCCGGGGTTAAGCACGCATTGTCCTGATCAGGTATCTGATGGTATAGGAGGGATAAATCAAAGCTCTGGAAAGATTCTAGTGTAGCGCGATGATTTTTCTCGGAGACGGTATTGAGGTTGATATCGACGGAGTAAATGAGCCGCTAGGATATCTGGCCGTTGGATCAGTGGCAGCTGCGCAGCCGACAAGGGTAGTTGAAAGCGGGCCCTCTGGACAGAAGAAAGTGATGAAGAGTGCCTTAGCTGGAAGTGTTGAAAATGGCAGCGGGTTTGAGATTACTGTT